TACCATCAGGGGCTCGTTGACCTGCACATCTACCAATGTGATATATGCCATCATGTGCCAGCAATGCCCCTCTGCCATGTACATTGGCCAAACCGGACAGTCTCTACGCAAAAGAATTAATGGACACAAATCTGACATCAGGAATCATAATACTCAAAAACCAGTGGGAGAACACTTTAACCTGTAAGGTCATTCAATGTCAGACCTGCGGGTGGCTATCTTACAACAGAAAAACTTCAAAAACAGACTCCAACGAGAGACTGCTGAGCTGGAATTGATATGCAAATTAGACACAATCAACTCAGGATTGAATAAGGACTGGGAATGGCTGAGCCATTACAAACACTGAATCTATCTCCCCTTGTAAGTATTCTCACACTTCTTATCAAACTGTCTGTACTGGGCTTTCTTGATTATCACTTCAAAAGTTTTTTTTCTCTTACTTAATTGGCCTCTCAGAGTTGGTAAGACAACTCCCACCTGTTTATGCTCTCTGTATGTGTGTATATATATCTCCTCAATATTTATTCCATTCTATATGCATCCGAAGAAGTGGTCTGTAGTCCACGAAAGCTTATGCTCTAATAAATTTGTTAGTCTCTAAGGTGCCACAAGTACTCCTGTTCTTTTTGAGGAAACAGACTAACACGGCTGCTACTCTGAAAATTGCCAATACAGATAAGGACCAGAATATCATACAAGAATATTTAGATGACCTTGAAAACTGGAGTAATAGAAATCTCCAATGGCCAGAGATGCGGCACTATAGGGAGAGAGCTCTCGGTTAATATAGAGTATTCTTTCCCAAGTGTCTGGCTGGTGGGGCTTGCCCACATGCTCAGGGTCTAACTAATCATCATATCTGGGGACTGGAAAGAATCTTCCCCCAGATCAGAATGACAGAGACCCTGGGGAATTTTGAATTCCTCTGCAGCATGAGGCACAGGTCACTTGCTGGTTTGAACTAGCATAAATGGTGGATTCACTGCAACTTGCAGTCTCTAAATCAAGACCTGAGGGCTTCAGTAACTCAGCAAGAGGCTATTCTACTACAAGAATAGGTGGGTGAGGCTCTGTGGCCTGCAACATGCAGGAGGCCAGACCAGATGATCATGATCACGCAGGGGACTGGACTAGAACACCTCTCAAGCTCCCTTCCAATCCTACGCTTTTATGATGGCTCCTTCTGGCCTTAGTCTATGAGTCTATGCTCCTCACAAATACTTTAACATATTGCTTCATTACTAATTAGAACACACAAATATATTAATTTTATAATAGGAGGCTGAGTTTTTAAGAAAGGGTAATGTTTAGACAGATGGCTAAAAAATTTTCCAGAACCAAGGCCATGGAGCAACAATGCAAACCCACCTTATGAAGTACTGAGAGCCATCAGTACACCCTGGCTTTAGTTGAAGGACACAATACATCACAGAATTAGGATTTCCAGGAAGGTGTAAATATGTTTAATAGAAGAGGAAAGCATAAGGCAAATGGTACCATAATTCGAGCGTCTTTGTAGCTTAGGGCTGTGACTTTCATAAGTCACCTGATTTTCTCTCCCTTGTGTGTCCTCATCTTTATTTCTTGCTGATGCCATCAAATGGTGGTTTTGCTATCTTCCTGGTGTCAAAAGGGGGTGTTTGTTGTGAGGATTCTGCACGGCTTGTACAACATTATAATATTTATCTTAACATATTTGTTTATTTTATAATTGGTACACTGACAGTTATTTGGGTTGGCAAGGGCTTGGTTTCATTTGTTGAATACCACCAAACAAAAATACCTTTACATATTTATAAAACATGGATACAAAGTAAAGAACAAGAGGGAAAACAAGCAAAACATTTAAAATCAAAAAGTTAAGTAAGTCTTCATTTTAATTAGCTCCTTCATTCTTGCTCTCTATTTGTGCAGAACCTATTAATGGGAAAATCCTTAGTCCGAAGTCTCTTAAATGTCATCAGATGTCCTTCCTGGGAATCATATCAAATTGTAAAGATGACCACTGAGTATCTAGTAAATTCTATCTAGCTTGGTGATATCCTTTCTTCAGCAAAGGCTAGTACCTGATACTTCCAAAGAAAAAAAAGAAACATAATGCACCTGATGTGGCACACTAGAACTATCCTGCGTTATGGAGAAAAAAAGAAATTATGCTAAATTCTAAAACACTGTCAGTAGGAAGGGTCAGACGCAGAGGTCTTAAGAAAACTGCAGTTGTAAATCACAACCTAATGGAAGCTGTGTGAGGTTCACAGATTATGAGCTTGTTCCCGCCACTCCAATTTCACTCAATCTCTTATTTAGGTCATATAAATAAATAAATGGAGATATCCTATCTCCTAGAACTGGAAGGGACCTTGAAAGGTCATTGAGTCCAGCCCCCTGCCTTCACTAGCAGGACTAAGTGCTGATTTTGCCCCAGATCCCTAAGTGGCCCCCTCAAAAATTAAACTCACAACCCTGGGTTTAGAAGGCCAATGCTCAAATCACTGAGCTATCCCTCCCCCATGTGTACAGCAACTCTACTTCTGTGTAATTTGTAAACAGAAAAGTAAAAAACTAGCTTTATTACAAACTATGATCAACTGCTGGAAATAGGTTACTAGACACCTCAGCAAATGTATAGTACAAGACTGTAAAGGACAAAACCACTCAGGTTCACAATTGCTCCTAAACATTTATAAACAGGACCTCAAAATTAAAAAAAAGATATAGTCATATTTTAGTAACAGTTTCTCCTATGTCATTCTCCCCACTTTTATTTGTACTAAGCAGCAAGTATTAAAGGACGTATCATATATTTAATGGAAAACTTTGGAGTGAACTGTAAAAAAATCCACTTATAAACAAAAATATTAGTTGTAATTAACAGGCAATGTTTTCACTGAAGTATAAATATTAAAACACTTGTTGTAAAACAAAATTATTTGGCAAAAACAATAATCTTTTATCAGTAAGCCCAAGCCATTTTAAACTAGGTTTATAGCAGAGTCTGAAGGTTTTGGAACAGCCAAAGAACGGTAAATATTTCTACTGTTACACTCTATTTGCATGAGCTTATAACTCAACCATGAAAATTTATTCTGGGCTAACACCTGGCCACACAGAATACGTCTACACTGCAGCTGGGAGGAAGCTTCACAGCCTAGGTAGACAGAATTGCCCTAACATGGATTGATCTAAAATATAGCAGTGTGGATGTTGTGGCTCCAACGAAAACTCAGGATAGCAACCTGAGCTTAGACCCACAGGGTTTGGCAGGCTTGAGAGCCTGAACTGCCACTTGAAATGCAATATCCACACTGCTAATTGTTAGTGCACTAGCTTGAACCCTACTTTCATAAGTCTCTCTAGGGGGGCTAGAAGGCTCATTCCTTGCTACCATGTAGACAATACCCAAAGGGTCTCATTTTAGGAGTGAATTTATTTTATAAAGAAAGAACTGACTACTTTGCACATGGAATACTCTAAAAGCCCTTTAAAACATTAAGGAAGTAATATTCACACCACCCAGACAAGGTAAAGAGCATCTCCATTGTATCTGTGGGAAAGCTGAGGAACATAGGAGTTAAGTGGCTTGCAGAAGGTAACACAGCAAATCTATCACAGGGCCAGGAACAGACTCTAGAATGCCTGACTCCATATCCTGTGCTCTAAGCACAAACCCACAGCATCCGCCACGCAAGCTCTTGCGGTGCAACAGGAACACTATTTCCAACCACACGCCCACAAAATCATTTGCCTGAAAAACTTGGGTTTTTTATAAAATAAGAAAGGCAGGGTGCTCTTTGTTGCCGTCCAGCCTTTAGGGTTCATGTTTTCAAGATTTTCGCACAAGGAGGGCCACCACGCTACTTGACACACAAAGTACAAGCCGAGTGTTCCCTAGCCCCGTGATTCCAGGAGCTGGAGCTTCAGGGAGGCCATCAAGCATCAGCAGCCTGGTGGTAACGTCATGGGACCAGAGTAAGCAGCTCAGGAACCCCCGGGAGGGGACGGCAAGGGGACACTTGCCCCGAGCCCAAACGGGGAGCAGCTCGAGCTCAGAGCCCCCAGCCCAGAGCACGGGCGGAGGAAGACCCCTAGGGGGAGCGAGGGTCCGCATGGCCCGATCATGCCCAGACACGGGATGGGACCCAGCGACGCTAAACACTCGCTCGCTAACCCAGCCCCACTCGGCTCCTCCCAAACCCCGCTACAGGAAATAGGCTGCTTGAGATCTCGCGAGAGGCTCCGCTCCCATGCCTTCATTTCTGCTTCCTCCGCCCTCCGCTTCCCTCTTCTCGCGAGACATCAGCCCCTCTTCTTTCTTTTACCCGACGCCGCCAGCATGGTGAGCTGCTGGCTGCGGCCGCGTGGCCGGGCAGGGCTGAGGGGAGCAGCCGGGAGGGGGGAGCCTGGCGCGCGCGGCTCCCCGCGCTCTGGAGAGGGGGCTCCGCGTGCCCGCGCCGCCCCGCTACCACTTTCCCGGGGGAGCGGGCCCCGCCGGGCCGGAGGGAGGGGGAGAGCGCAGGGCCCGGAGCCTTCCCCGGCTCCCCCCGCGTCGCCCTGAGGCCGGGGAGCTTCAGCCCCGAGGGGGCCCGGGCAGGAGGCGGGACGCGGGTCCCACTTTCCGGCCCGGCCGCTCGGTAACGCGCTCTGCTCTCTGCAGCCCTCCAGACTGAGGAAGACCAGGAAGCTGAGGGGACACGTCAGCCACGGCCACGGTCGCATCGGTGAGTGCGGAGCGCAGCCCCACGTCGGGTCTGCGTCCCCTGCTCCCCCGCTGGACCCGGGTCCGTCCTGGGGGACGAGCAGTAACAGGCTGCAGCCCCGCTCGCACGGTGCCTGCTGGGCCGGAGCGGGCCTCTCGGGGACTTCAGCGACGTACCGCATTTCTGGCATCACGATTTCTTCTTGTCTCTCCTTCCAGGCAAGCACAGGAAGCATCCCGGTGGCCGTGGCAATGCTGGGGGTATGCACCACCACAGGATTAACTTTGACAAATAGTAAGACACCTAAAAACCATGCCTCGTCCTTCCTCTGTTTTCTGGCCATGTTGAGATGTCACGTGGCGAACTAGCTTCCATAGTGGGCATTTTGAACCATGCATGTAAACGGACAGGCTTTGTAACAAGGCAGCACTTCATAGTCCTCTTTTGTATACGCACTTCTTCTTTCCACAGATTAGTATGATTAACAATGTTGGTGAGTTCAGAGTGGGGTAATTATTTCAGAACTGGAGT